AGGTTATTGGTGCATTTGGTGAATATAAATCAAAATAATTAAACAGTTTAAAATAAATAAACATAACAATATGTTAATATTTGAGGAGTGCGGTTTCAAAACTCCATCTCCCACGGTCCCCTCTCTGGAGCTGCCCTTGCCTTAATATTTTGTTACAAGGCGAAAGTTGTAATCATTAGGTTCAAAATATTTTTTACTATATTTCTCTACCTGCCAAAAAGTTTAAATAAGTAGTTAACATTATCTTAGAATAGACTTTTAAGTACCTTATGTATTAGCAGATCGGAAACTGCAGTCATTTTGAAGTCATAGGTTTTCCTTAATTCTGAAAAATCACTTAACAGAAACTTACTTACAAAGTTTTGAAACCGCACTCCAGCATTTATTCCTGGTACATCTTTTGTAAACCATTTGCCTTAGCAATGTTATTTTTTGTGACAAAAAATTAAAATATTTATCCAAGCATATTGTATTCAAGAAATAAGAACATTTACAAATAAAAAATTAGAAATTTAAATTCAAATTAAATAAAACAATCTGTCATATGTCACTCTTCTTCTTTAATATAGTATCATTACTGGCCTATTTCAATGGATAATTTGGCAATAGTTTTTTAGGCTCCTCATTATATAAGATGGAGATCATACCAAAGGACAAATAAATAGAAGAAATCGACTAAAATTCTTCAAGACAAAGGCCATGGAAAAATGAAAATTTAGAAGAATGAAATAACCTAATATAACCTAAAATTTCTTGAAAATATATAAATATGAATTTCAGACAGGTAGCCTAAGCAATAAAGAGTTTAACGGTGTTACCTATGAAAAATTAAAATAAAACCACAAATTGGTATGTTGGTCCAATTCGATGTCCGATGATCCCCTTTCAATTGCTGCCGAGCTGCTAATTGTTAATTGTATAATCTTGAACAAACAATTTTCTGCAACTGCAAACTGCTTTAACTTATCAATCAATATCCATGATCCATTATATCAAAAGCTTTCCAAAAATCAGTGTAAATAACGTCAGGAATGCTTTCAATACTGCAGTTTTTGTTTGCGCTATTACCGACAGTGATGTAATGTTGAAATAATTTTTAACTGTTTTAAAATTCTTCCCATAGTTTCTGTAGTAAACAAAACTGGAAAGAAAGAGAAAAAAATAACTTACCCAAAACAGCATCTGGTGCCACCATGTTCTAACCTTGGAGGTATAATACTCATTGGTTCAAACTCTTCTTCAACAATTCACTTCCAAACTTGTTCATAGTCATGGTGTGGGTATTAATGAACACATTGATGGATGGTTGAGAACTGCACACATATCATTTAGGATTGACTTGCTCTGTTTACTGGTGGCCAGCACGAATTTAGAATGAATCTATTTTTTGAGGCAGATGAAGGACATTTCTAATAGGTCTTGGAAGGAGTAAACAAAAGGGACATCTAGACTGGTTATCATCCTGATGACAATGGCTGGGATGTTTACTGGCAATTGCTACAAGAAAAATAATCAAAAACGTTTGAATTCTACATATTTTCATACTTAATAATAATTATTATAAAAATAAAAGGTCTTTATAGACACGCTTGAAATTTCAAATCTTGGTAATAAACCAGGAAGCTGAATTGTGGATATTACAAATGAAATTTTACAGAAAGCCCATATTTAACTATTTTGGATCAGCTGACACTTGAACAAATTGTTTTTTACCTTAAAATCTGCATAATGTATTGTTCTGTCTCCATCATACAAAAATATTAATTCATTTCAATTGATCTCTTGTTGTATAAACGGTTAAATAGCAATATTAGATTATCCATATAGCAATAAACCATATAAAAATTTTCGTAAACGTTTATAATTCATTACTTTTTGGTTTTTAGGAAATAATTTTTGAATTTGAATAATAACGACCTGTCAAATATGCTAGAGTGCGTTTAGAAACCCTGCACGGCGCGTCTGGGCCCTATTCTAAATGCATGTGGTCAGACGCGCCGTGCGGAGTTTCTAAACGCACTCCTAGTCACTGATCTGTATTATTTTACCTCCTAGTAGTAAGAGGTGAGCATGAAGGGAAAAGCTGGTAATTTAGAGGGGTTGCGACATAACCTTCCATCATCTTTTTAACCATTTTCTGTCCATGTTGCTTTGGACAAAAACAGGAATCTACTATTAGTAACCCTATTTATCTTTAATTATGTGGTTCATAGCACATACTTTGATTTTCTAAGTATGTGGTTCATAGCTATTAAGATTCATAGACACAATTATCAGGGCTGGTATATCTAAGGTATTAGATCATGGAGGAAAGATTATTAAGAGTTGCCGTTTTTCTTTGTAGAAATTTGGCAACATGTTTGCTTGCAACGACCTGTGGGGTGGAGGAGTAGAACTAATCTTACTCTGTCGGTAATGTAGTTACCAGCAGTATTACCATCAACTCTTACTCTGTCGGTAATGCAGTTACCCGTAATTGTATATTTAATTTGAAAATTGGCGGGTTTTTTTAAAGGAGAATTTACTTTTGCAATTATTTTCTAATACGAAATATAGCCATACAAAATTTTGATAGTAATTTTTTTAATTTTTTAGTGAAATAAAAAACATGTACGTGTAGCTCAAATATGTTCCTCTGGAGCCACTTTTTCATAATTTAATTAAATTTTGATGGCAATAAATCGCAAAATTTTGTTTTTATAAAGATTTCAAAAATTGACAAAATAATTAAATCAAATTTCAGAATAGTGGCTCCAGAAAAACAGATATTTCACTTTTACCTGAAGGTATATATTTTTCATTCACTAAAAAGTAAAATTAAACTATAGAAATATGTGTGGCTCTATTTCGTATTGTTTAGAAAAAGATAATTGCTTAAGTAAATTTTCCTCTTAATTATAATTAAAATTTTCCTTTTTTATTAGCTGTTTGTAACAATTATGAAATGCCCAATAAAAATGTAAAATTCTATGACAAATAATTATGAGGGATAAAATAAATATCATACAAAGTTTTATATAATTATATTTACTAAAAATTCCCAAGAAAAATAAATAAAAAATATATCAGAGATGGCAATACAAAAAAATATTTTTCATGCACTTCACCCCCCATACAAGCGAGCTTATGCGAAGCAAGAATGTCTATTATTATTATTATTTACTATGGCGCTCCCGGACGTCTTATAAATGATTCTTTAAGAAAGTTACTCTAATATCACAAACATTACATTACTATTTCAGTACGTTATCTATCTTTGGCTAACAAAAATCAGAAATTGCATAACAAATAATTAATTTACTTGATATGAAAACTAATGCCTAAGTAAATAAATTTTTAAAATAAACAAAAAACAAAACAACAAATTCTTCTTGAATCTTAGGAAATCAGACAAAAGCAACCATCCATATAAACTGAAACAGAAAAAAATTAAATGCAGTAACTTCAAATCATTTTATTTGTCTTTTAGACATTGCAGCAGCCCTCATACTATCATTATAATACTTTCTTATTATTAATAGTAGGCAAGTTTCAACTAAATGAGAAAAGACATATGTTTTATGTTCTTTATATGTAAACCAGAGATGGCTTGTGGCCTAGTCTGTGAGGAAGCTGGCTCATCCTATATACTTTATACAAATATATATTTCTATTATGTAATATTTCTGCTTTTTGAATTCTTATAGACATATATTTTTATTAAGTATATAGGGTGTGCCTTTTAAAAGTAGTCTCCTCATAGACTAGGCCACGAGTCGCCTCTGATCTAAACCATTTAAAATCAACATGTTGTCAATATGACCCAAAAGTTGTGAAACTATTTCAAGAATTTTTGAAAGAAATGCAATAACATTTCTTTGTACATAAATAAAACGTCTTTTATCATAATTTTCTTTAAAATAAGTAAAAGTATCGATGGTCTTCTAACATGTCTGTAAATTAACTTTACACTCTTTGCAGTCAAAACTATTAAGTTTCTTAATAAACCCTGCAACATAACTAGTGGCCTGACTCAAATTCTGCTTCATTTTTTAATTTTATATATATTATTAAAATGAACTTTATCCTCACAGGACTCTGTTTGGAGGTGTGATAACAATATTACTAAGTACTACTATCTTTGGTGTATCTGGTTTTGAGGATGCTAAAGCAAGGTAAAGCAAATCTTTTAGCAGTCTTGAACGATTTGTGTTTGTAAACAATTTTGTATCAAAATATGATTTTCTCATAATGTATAATGATTGGGGTTGTAAGTGGAATGTTTAAAATACGACACCATTCCGTTTTTTGATCAATATCAGAAGGAAATTTAAAAATGTTTGTTCTTAAAATTTACGTTTGGAATGGGCCTTATAAAATGTACTATAACCATTAGAAATTATGCGTTTATAATGAATTCTGCCTAGTAAAGACATGTTAAAGCATCAAAATACCTTTACTTGATTTTAAATAATCCTAAATAACTTATATCTAAAAAAATAAAAGTAGTTCCACTCACATGTTTTCGTCGACAACCAAATCATGACATAACCACACATTTGTTTGATTTTGATGTTATTTGTTGACAGCGCGCGCGGGGCCCGCTATAGCGAGCAGCCAGCAGTCATGCAGCATGCAGCGGACAGAAAGCCATCTTCACATAGTACAAATAACTAAGTGAAGGTATGTTTTTTTTAGTTTGTTGTAATATATGAATTAAAATTTTTGAAACAACACTTTTTGTGTGTTACTGAACGAGATGTTATTAAATTAATCAATGTGCTTTACATTTTAATACAATTTTACTATTGTAAAACGGACTTCAGAGCACCCAAGCGCGGAGGAGTATGCGCAGAAACGTGTTTACGTATTGTGCATATGATATAAACCCCCGTGTATTAGATATACCAGCCCTGACAATTATCTCCGCCATTTTATGTCCACATTCTGACAGGTCTGATATGGCAACCCTGTGGGCCCGGTAATTTGACAGGGTCAATGATACAGACAATTATATAGATTGATCATCCATGTTTTTCAAAATAAACAAAAATGAGGTTATAAAAAAATATGTGGCAGTGGACACTGACATATTTATATTTACATTTTAGAAGTTGGAATGGAAATAATAATCCTGCCTCCATGTTAGAAATGTTGGTATTGAGCTGTTGAGTTTTGATAATTATTGTACCTCAACCATTTTTTTGCTAAAAAATTAATATTAGAAATTACTCAGAAGGTATGACGGAATTAAAATATGCGGAACTACAAAAGAGCTACCAGCTGGAGCTTAAAAAACTTGAAAAGGAAGAGGTACATAAATATCACGCCCTGTTTTCTTTGCAATTAATTCAAATCCTGATTTGTTCATAGGAAACTTTGGTTGATGAGCTGAATAATATGCTAAATCAGAAAACTTTTCTCGAAGATAAGATCAAAGGTTTAGCCAAGTTATTACCTACCTTAAAAGTTATTAAACATGAAGCTCAAGATTTAGTTAACACTGTCAATAATATATCAGATTCGTCTGAGAAGATAAGCGGGAATATTCGGTCATTAGACAATGCCAGGGTAAGTAAAATTTTTACACCTAAATATAATAATATGACTTAAAAAGTGATAATTTAGGTTTGATCATATTAACATAAATTTAAGGATTTTAAAACAAAACACTTTATACAGAAAATGTAATCATAAACATAAGATTTGACAAATTATTTAAAAAAATTATTATTTATTTGCACTTATGTTTTTTGTTTACAAAAGATATTCCTGCAATTATGTGTGCTTGGAGTTTTGATAATATCAATTTACCATAATTTGTTTTAGAGTAGAGTAGAAGAGTGCCAAGCTAGGGTAAGTGATCTAATAGATCTCGAAATTTGCTCACAAGGAGTCCAAACTGCTATTTTGGACTCTGATTATGAAAAAGGAGCTGCACATGTCCATCGTTTTCTTTCAATGGATCAATCTTTACTAAAACGAACTGCTAATGATATGGATAATATCTCAAACATGTTAAAATCAGTAAGAACTTTGCAGGACGCTGCTAGTCAATTAAGAGCCATAGTTACACATAAGTTCACAGAAGCTGTTAATGCAGAGGATTTGGTGTCTATTGAACGTTTTTTCAAAATTTTTCCATTGCTAGGTTTGCATGAAGAGGGCATTAAAGAGTTTTGTACTTATTTGAGGACCAAAGTAGCTGCAGCTGCTGATAAAAATTTAAAATCTGCTGTAAGCACTCCACCATCAGATAAAAGACACACTATAGTTTATGCTGATACTCTTACATTACTCTATGAAGGTTTAGCTCGTATTACAGACACCCATCAACCTTTAATTGAAACTTACTATGGTCCAGGTAGACTTTTGGCTGCTATTTCAATTCTACAAAAAGAATGTGACATACAAACTAAACGAGTTTTGTTGGAATGGGGTAAAACTAGGCAGATTAATAAAAAAAATCAAATGATCAATGAATTATCAAGGATGAGTAGCAGTTCCAGTTTCAATAAACTTGAAAAAATCGAACCTAAAGATTTGGATATTTTGATTGTTGAGATCACTTTGATGCATTTTAGGATTGAGCTGTACAACAGATTTATTCAGAGAAAAATTACAGTAAGTATAATGTAACAAATTCAAAAAAAATACATTTATTTCCCAAATTACAAACTTACATTTGAAGGGTACAGTCAAATATTTGTAGATTTTTATGTTAGTTGCTAGCAAATAAAAACTATATGGCCTAGTAACATACATCAGGCCAAAAAAGTGAATAGTAGTGAGATATTGTAGGTTAAAGTTTTGTTGTAGGTACAGGCTAATAACAGGTTAAACTTAAAAAGTGCGTTACTGAAAATTTACTTATTTTGACATTCCCCTTTCATTTACTAATTAAACACATGATACATCATTACAAAATTATATCATTCACCTTTTGTTCTATGATGACATACTGATATTTTTCATCAAGACACTTAGAACAAAATGTATATGCTCACCCATTATTAAAACCTTTCCTCAAAAAGTTTTATATATATGAGAAAAGTTTTATCTTACGTTTCACGAAAAGAAATTATTCTTGATTACTTGGGAATTGATAATTAAGTGTTAATTTTTGTAAAATACAGGTGGTATATAGGGAAAATAAAAATAATGATTTATAATGAAGAGTAAGATACTCAAGAGCAAAATATTAAATTAAAATGTTGAAAGAAATTAAAAAATATGTTAACGTTAAAATCACGGCAGTTATTTTAATTTACTTCTTTTACTCAATAAATAATTCAAAAGTTAATTTTACAAATTTTATGTCCAAGTGATGCAGAACTTTTTATTTAGAATAATTTTTTTGTGAAATGTAAGATAAAATCTTTGTCATTTGTATAAAACTTTTTGAGACAGCTCTATATACACCCAGACAGCACACCAAATCCTTTGGATATCTACTGAACATCCCAATATCCACTGAATGTCCAGTCCATGGTAGATATATATTTTATATCCATGAGATGTAATTTATAGACATGCAAATGTCCATAAATAATAGTAATTATATAGCAAATTATTAAAAAAATACGCCATTGTGGCTAATAGTACCGTTCAGATATTAAAAATTAATTTTTTTAAGGTGTATTCAATATCCCATGAACATCCACTAAATATATCAAAGTCTAGGCGCGAACGCAAACCATCGTGGATATCCACTAGATGTTATTTGATTCTGCTTACTAAGTATAGATGGCGATACCACTATCGCATCTACTCATGCTCGACCCGCCGTAATAGAGTTCGATCGAAATTTTTGTCCTACAGACTCCATTAGAGATTGGAGTCGAGAACTTCGATTTATTGCTGAAGAGTCCTAATAAGGATGACTTTCTCCTTAGTGGGCAAAATCAAAGGCAGAGTGTTGAAAATATTTTTTTATCTCTGCTATTTTCTTTCGACGTTATTCAATAATCATTGGTTACTTCTACTAGACATGGGTAACGCACTAAAATTCTTTGCGTTGATACACTAACTCCGGCGCACTCTATTGCGCCAACTCATTGCGTTAACGCAATTGCGTTATTGCGTCACACCACTGCCTGCGCCGAATGAAGTCGATGCACCTCGGTGTATCGCATGATACCGGTGTTATTCAGCGCGGGCTGTCCTTTTATAAGGGTCAAACCGTGTTCAAGGCAAAAACGCAATTGGGAATTTAACTAATTTTTTTTTTATTATATGTTTAAAAATATAACAGTGTAATGCACTCATTTTTTTAATTCATTGTGTTCGGATTTTACAAAAAATACAAAAATTCCAATTTATATAAAAAGTATAACTTTTGTATACTAGTAGCCAATCAAATTGGGAAGAACTAAAAATTGACAGTGTACAAGATTAAAATTCATAAAATTCGACCTACAATCCTACAAATGATGTGACATGTTGCAAAGAACATAATTACTTGATAGATTTTGGGTAATCTGCATTACGAGTTGCATCAATTACGTAAATTAAAATTCTCAACTCGTCACGGAAAACGGAATCAGTGCCTGGCGCATGGCGCACCAACAACTCGCGATCCTTTCGACTCAGTATCGAAAATTGCGTTGCGCTGATACAGTAACAGCAGGTGTATCAACGCTCGTAACGCATACAACTGCGTTAACGCAATAACGCAGCGCTGCGTTACCCATGTCTAACTTCTACTAAAGGTACCCATAAAATATTTTGTTGAATATCCGAATATCTTCTATATCCTGGGATATAGACGGGCATTTGGTTGGATATCCATATTGGATATATTGAATATCCACAAAATATATTCTGGGATTTCTTGTATTTTCTGGAAGATACCCATTAGATATTTTGCTGAATATCCATTAGGATATCTTCTATATTCTGGATATAGACGGACATTTGGATATCCATATTAGATCCACAGAATATTTCTGATATCCTGTAGAAATATTGGATATCCACAAAAGATATTCTGTGGATATCTCTGGGATTTGGTGTGTAGTCTGGGCAAGTATTACATATAACAAAAAGTAGATAAGCAAAGTTAAATAATTACTGTAAATGTTTTTAGTCTGATGCAGAGGTAGGCATTCCAAATCAAGATGACAGAAATAATATTCTAAAATCTCTTGAACAGTTAATAAAAAACAGCGACTTGAGTCAATGTAAGCACGAATTATTGTCTCACTATTTGAGACTTGAACAGTATTACATGGAAGAATCGGTAGCAAAAGCAATAGCTATGGACAGCGTTGAAATGGGCCAGCAAACATCAAGTATGGTGGATGATACTTTTTTCATTATAAGAAAATGCATAAGGTAAAATTTAATTTAAGGAATATAATTATTTGACTGTTATTACAGCCTTGACTACTCCCTCTAAAACTAAAATACTAGTTTAGTTTCTTAATGCCACCATTATCTTGGGTCTGGTGCATCTTAAATCATTTTAAACTCCAATCATTGATTCAAATTTTTGTTTCTAAAGAATAAAAGATCTATTTTTCTCAAATAAGAATAAAACTACTCAAAATTGATACACCAAAATTAAAGAAACCAATCGTCAAGCTCCATTAACTCCTAACGACTCTTTTAGCCTTCCTTTATTCTGATTAGTGACAGTTCAACAAGCATAAATAGCGGTTAAAAGCACCCTTAAAAAACTCTGCTCTTGTCTTGTTTCAACCCCTGACTATCTGAACTATATACAGTATTGGCTATCAAACATTTTTAAATACGTTTTGCACAAGTGCATGTGAAAATTACAGAGAGTTTTAGCATTAGTTCAAGCAGAAAACAAATAATATCAGAGTTGCCAATTTTTACGGCCCGGCCAACGTTATAAAACGGTCGGGTGGTATAAACATTCCGAAAGATAAGATTGTATCAGCGCTTTGTCTTTGATTCCCTAGACTGGGAAGTTTTTTGCAAGAATACTGTCAAGTATCAGAATATCTGAGATATATGAGACACCTCCGTTGAAATTAATTTTAGAGTAAGCAAGTTCAATATAAGCAAATATTCAGTGATCCAAACTTACCTAAGTAATTTCACTATCAGCTGTCATATCTCTTCATTTTTCATTTCTAAGTTGAGTTTCCCCACCCAATTTCCACTTCTATAAAAAAAAAATGCATTTATTAAGTCTTCTGTTCTTAAATAAATGTATGTGAATAAAATATAGCAGGAAATTTTAGCTAGAATTAAGATGAAAATGACTAATTTAATTACTAGTTAGAGAACGAAAACTTTATCTTATCCTTTGATCAATTGTAAAGGGTATTCAAATGCTCGAATGCATATTTTTATTTTCATTTATTCATTGACGCTAAAAATTAGTAACATAATTTTATCTTATCTACTGTTGGTGATTTCTGCATCCAGAATATGGTGATTTTAATTTCATTTGCCTGACAACACTGATGTGAGGTAAGAGGTAAGGCACAGCTTCTGCTTTCTGCAATGACAACAACCCCCCGCGATGTTTTAAGGATCCTTTAAAACTTAATTAACTCTATATTTTAAAATACTTCTCTTTTCACTTTCTAGGAGATCTGTATCGACGGGATCACTAGATGGTATTTGCGTGATCATCAACAACGCTTGCAGGGTCCTAGAAAGCGATTTTGGAGAGGTATTAAGAGGTAGACTGAGGCAAGGCTATCCTTCGGGATATTTAGATCTCACTCAAGCTTATAATGTACTACAAACTTCGATTCAACAAGGAAGATTGCAATCTGGAGATACCGAACAGTCCAGATTGGCGTTCCTCGTAAGATAATTCTTCTTAATATTAAAATTATTTGACAATTGACAATTTTTTAGGTAGCTCTCAATAATGCTGACAGTAGCACAGAATACGTTGATGCTTTGTGCGATAATGTATTGAAAGAAATCGAACAAGCATTACCGAATTTAAACAGCAATGAAAGAGGTAAATTAGAGAGCTGTCTTTCCGGTCTGTCGTCGGTTACTACCAATTTGAAAGATATAATCGAGTATGGTATCCAACAGTTGAGATCTTCCGCCATTAAACCGAGAATCAATCCGTGGGTAGACCAGTTTTTGAATATGAGCCACCATCTCACTGATGTAAGTAATATTAATAATAGTTTCTTGAAAAAATTTACGCATATTACAATTATTTTATCTTAAATGATAGTTTGGTTGAATTTGATTTAGATGTGCTTGAATGTTGGGTATGACCAGCTTTAGAAAAATTTTCTATTTTTTTTTTTAGGATGAACTATCAGCCTATGAAGCTGGAGAATCTTTCGTCCAAACTCTGATTATGAATTTAGAAACGTTACTGTCATCTTTCAAAGATATTTTGACGAGCGCTAATTATGATTTACTCACACAAGTGTTGACGGCCGAAGTAACCCAGAGACTGGAAAAAGTGATCATGAAAACTACGTTTAATAGAGTAAGTAATGTTATTACATATTATCAATATTATTATTATTATTAAAAATTTTGCAGTTAGGTGGATTGGTGTTGGACAAGGAGGTGAGGTCATTGGCTGGTTACATAACAGCGGCAACTTCTTGGTCCGTGCGCGATAAGTTCGCCAGATTGACTCAGATAGCTACTATATTAAATTTGGAACAAGTCAACGAGATATACGATTATTGGGGCAGCCATGATGGAGCTCTGACTTGGAGGTTAACGCCAACTGAGTTGCGGAATATCATAGCATTGAGGTGAAATAAAAAATATATGAGATTATAATGTTGAATTTTTTATTTGTATTTTGTTTTAGGACTGACTTTAAAGTTGAAGAAATACGAAGACTCAAGTTGTAAAAATGTTGTTACTTTTATTGTACAAATTTTGTAATATATATTTTTAAATGACATCGTTTTCATTTTTTTTTTAATCATTCTGATAGTTTGTATAGTTCTTCCATTATCAATTGCAGATCATAAAAACTCGTTTGGAACCTTTACCGACAATTTTGTTTGATCTGCCATAGGCGTAGATACCTACCTCATTTTATAAATTTATTTTATTAATACTTTTAATATATATCATATGCAAGAAAGTATTCGTTAAAAGGAAATCGAATAATTATAAATTGGACGTTATTATACGCATTGATTTAGACAGATGCACTTAATTGTAATCTTACTTGGACTTAAAAAAAAATCTTATTATAGCTCGTTAACTTGCTACAACTGAATATTAAATTATAAAACGTAAAAAAGCGAGTAAAGTGTACCTGCCTGTAAGGACGTTTGGTTTAAACAGGGTACCAGACGTGAACTGAACCCTTTTTGTACCCCATTCGTTCTTTTTCTGGAAAACGAAATTTCAAACAAAAAACCATAAAGGAAAATAAATTCTTTGCAAATAAAACAAAAGAAAAAAAAATCAATTTTAAGTATCTTTATAAATAATCATGGCAGTCTGAATCCTCTGAACTAGAGTCATCATTTGGTTGAATTATGATGGGTTGTAAAGAGGGTAATACTACATACTCATCTTCTTCTTTGATAACATGTTCAACACAGTTTTTCCAAAGCTCTTGGCGGTCTGCTGCTAGAACTTTCTTTTTACGAGTTCTACAACTTCTTTACTCAGTTCTGGAGACTGATTACATTTTCGTAATTCTGATTTTAAGTTTGCCAATATTAACTCTATAGGGTTAAATATGCAATAGTAAGGAGGTAGTCTGAGAAGAGTTTGCACAGCTTGTCAATATAATACATTTTTTCTAACTTTATACCTTTGATAACAGTAAGCAATTCTTTGTTTGTTGGTCCTTTTTTACTATCACTGGCAGGAATAGGAATATTTTTTTCAGACATAAAAGCTAAAATTTGAGCTTTTTTACTGCTACTATTTGGTATTTTAAGGAGTTGCCGCGAGTGGTAGGATGCATTGTTCATAACGATTACTGACTGGGGTGGAATGTAAGGTAAAAGCTGTTCATTAAACCGTTTTTCAAATAATTCTACTGTCATATCTTCATGATAATCAGCTGCACAGTTTTTAATTTGTTTAGCAGATAATAATAAAGCATTAGGCACGAAACCGTCTTTGCTTCCAGCAATTTTTACTACTGCCAACCCAACCGAAATTTACTACATTGTGACTGTCAAACCATGTTTCATCTAGATAAATTATGTGTCTATTAGAACTTCTGTAGCCTTTTATCTGACGCAAATAATCTTGTCGCCATTGAACTATCCTTGACGATTCGGTGATTGCCATCTGTTTATTCAATTTTTTGTGTTTAAAACCACATGCTGACAAAACTTGACGCAATGTTTCCAAACTGGTATAAGTGTATCCTGGAAAATCTGCCACCTTTTGCTGTATTACTTCCAATGTCGGAACTCTGTTCTCCTTATATAAACTATAAATTGTCCTCCGTATAAAATCTTGGGTAGCTCTGTCAACTGATTTCAGTTTTTCTTTACATGTTTTTAGGTTTTATAAATAATCCACAGCAACCCCTTTCGTGACTACCGGATAAACGGAAAATTTATTTACTTTAGTTAATTCAGCAATTGTTATTATGAACGCATTATCAGACTGCTAAGTATTTTCCTTTTTTAAACATTCGAATATATTTAAAATAACTTGTTGTGTTTGTATATCTAAATCCTTATCGTTAAAGTCATACCTGTCTTTAATCTCACTACACTGTGCAATTTCATTTTCTTCATTCGCCCATGGTCTAAAGAACGCCATATTTATATTTATTAAAAGAAATTTAAATTAAACCAACCACACATACAAAACACACCGCACGACAGTACTCCACTGATATCGCAGACTGTCTTCCAGGAATATTTTCGAACACCTGCCTTCCGTAAACCTTCGGCCAATACAGTGCATTTAAGTTTACGATTCGATGTTTTCATTGGTAAACAACTGATGGTTCGTTTAATATTTACCGCTTTGTATAAGGGGAGTAAACATTATTTTTCATTTCTTAATTTGGCATGAGTACCGTGCGTATATATTAAATATTGATGATTCCCCACATAACTGTGTTCTACAATTGATAATGGAAGGACTATACCAACTACAGGATGGAATCAAAAAAACTGTTTAGTCTTTTTAAATTGTCATGATGTAAATAACAAGATGTAGTATTCCCATAGGTACGCAGTGGCAAACAATTAGAGTAATATTCCCTAATGGTCCCAGTTAATTTAAACGGTAAATTCATTAGATTACGATTATATATTATTTAATTAGATATTTTTTATTCATTTATAACTACATTGATATAATTATTGTTTTGTTTGTATATTTATCACTATAACGCATCTGATAACATTTCGATGTCAGGGAACTTGTCATTTCTCTAGGAAGGCATTCTATGATCACCTTCTCCAAGAAGTTCTGCAAGAGGTGGAAGCCGAAACACCGCAGTGCTTTGGAAAAGTACTCAGAGCACAATAAATAATAATACTCTCCCTAATAAGATGATTTAGATTAAAAATGAAATGTCATATTTGAAAAAAATGCTCATGAAGTGTAAGAATTTTAATGTCACATCCCTGGAGTCGCCTTCGATCGCCTGTCTTGAGCACGTGCCAGAATTCGTAATAACTTGCATGACTGGAAACACACACGTCTATTCCGTATTCCGTTTGTTCGTTCTCACGTAGCAACTCTGATGTCAAAGTTATTTTAACGCAAATCTAATTTTATTGATTACTTCCTTACCTGTATTCTCTATGACCGACAGCCAATTAAAAGTGACTAATCCCGACCACACGCTTTTGCCTCTTCGTTTATTCGTTTCTAGTTTTCTATGTTTCGCATCTGTGATGAATTTCCTTGGGTCAATAGTACCGCCTTATTAAAAAGTCAAAGTATTTGAAAATTTACACGATATGAGAAAGTTGAGATCTGCATGTCGCCTAATCGATCCATTATTTATATGAACGTTTCATTTGAGGGTCGATGTACGATTTATTTTTATAAATATACCACGCTTTCTTGTTTATTATGAATTAAAAAAAGGCCTATAACAATGCACCGAAATGTTTGATCCCATTTACGTAGAAGCAACTAATAATGATGTTTATTGTAACGATTGTTTACTTTAAAATAGTTTATTCCAGTTACTTTCACGAATTTTCGAGATGGACGGGCAGCTCTTGCCAACGCCATCGGGCTCCTTAGTGGGCAAAATCAAAGGCAGAGTGTTGAAAATATTTTGAGTGTTGAAAATATTTTTTCTATGCTATTTTCTTTCGACGTTATTCAATAAACATTGGTTACTTTTATGAACCTCTACTAAAGATATCCATAAAATATTTTGCTGAATATCCGAATTCTTCTATATCCTGGGATATAGACGGACATTTGGTTGGATATCCATATTGGATATCCACAAAATATATTCTGTGGATATCTCTGGGATTTCTCGTATTGTCTGGAAGATACCCATTAGATATTTTGCTGGATAATCTATAGGATATCTTCTATATTGTGGATATAGACGGACATTTATTTGGATATCCATGTTAGATCCACGGAATATTTCTGATATCCTGTGGATATATTGGATATCCACAAAAGATATTCTGTGGATATCTCTGGGATTTGGTGTGTTATCTGGGCAGACTGTACGGCGCGGCGCGGTAAAGGTAAATAGAGAACAGGGTTGGTTTCAGGCAATCGCACGACGTTATTTTTACAAGAAAACATTGATTCGTCCATTTAGTAGAAAAGACCGTTATTGCTGAATATTTCCGAGAAAAAGCAGCCTGTAAAATAATTATACATTGTTACAACGGTGTCAAATATTACCAGCACCATTATAGATGTAATTGCGGCTTTTGTTCCTATCTTCTTATAAAATAGAGTTTGAATCCAAAATATATCAGTGCAGCCGTTTTTCTGGAAAATAAACGACCCTGTGGTTCCTCAATCTAATCGTATATCATTTGAGGATTTTTTAAATGTAATTTAAAATAAAGGAGCAAAACTTGTTCATGCGGCGCTCATGTCTAGATGTACCTATTCAACCCTGTGGTTCCTCAATATAATCGTTTATCATTTGAGGATTTTTTAAATGTAAAACAAAACAAAAGGGACATAACTTGCCCATGCGGCGCTCATGTCTAGATGTACTTATTCAACATGCAATCAAATAAGAAAACAAAGTTTCGAAGACAGAATCATTATTATTATTATTTATAACTTGTTATTTTTAATTTATATTCGTTAAGTTATAAATAAATGATGCAAGAATTTATTTGTATTGTTCTTTTTATTGTATTTTATGACATATTTTTGTCTGGGATCGAAAAATATATTTTGTTATGAACAAATTATTTTAATTGATGGAATACAAATTATATAATTAAAAAAAAATCACAAAAAAGTTGTTTAATTATTATTGAAATAGCAATGTTTTTCTGATTTTTTTATGTATCTATTCATAAAATAAATTAGTAAACTTGGTTTCTATAGAAATAGCGGAATTTATTTTTTTATCCGATCAATTAACGGTAGGTATAGAGACCAAAAGGGCATATCACTAAAACGCTAACCTTATACATTATTTAGTAAATAATTATTACCCCATTTAATTTTTAGGTTGAAACACACGTACTAGCTATTTTGACCCCATTTTTTCCCTTCAATTTTGCTTAAAATATTTATAGCAGTAATTATCTTCGGGAAAGTCGTTAATAGTAAACAACTTTGATACACAAAGTTTATCATAAATTTATAATAAAGATTTACGTGGCCTTAATACTATAATCTATAATTACTTCAATAAGAAAAGTCTGGAAAATGAAAAGCTAATGCTTCATTAATAATTCAGACGGTATACTAACGTAGTATTAAGTTCGTCTATATTATCTAGTTTAAATAAATAAA